AAGAGGTGCTCGCAGTCAGGCTTTGGAACTCGGCGCATACATAACACGCACCGCATTATAAGGCGTCCTGTCCATTTTGGAGAAAATTTAGGACTTTTAATGGCGCCTTATAGTCGTGAAAATACGTTACTTATGTAGTTTTTTATTTTTAAATGATTTTGAAAGACGTGATTGGGCTTCGGCACTTGATACACAGCGCCTGAATGAGCAGATGCTAACATACCTAATAACAATAATGCAAAGCCTGCGTGAAGCTAGCCTCTTACCACACGCGGGGGGACATTGTCTATTTTATTTATTATATTTGTTTCAAAATTTTACATTGTGGTGCTACGATTTATATTACACAGTTAATAACTTACCAACAACAGTCGCACAAACAATACTTTTTACGGCACGAACGATTGCAGCGGCGACGGCGGCAGTCTAATCAACAGATGCTAACATATCTAATAACAGAGCAAGACCTGGGTGAAGCTGCTATCTTAGATGGCATATTGACCACACAATAAACGCCATAACAAATCCGTCTTGTACAAATTTGTAACCTTCCAAGTTTTTGAATGATCGCAAGGACTTATCTGGGTTGTGAGACGGGAAACATGAGATAATTGCAGATATATAGGTACTGCAGAAGTCACTGATGGTGTAGCAGTACACTCGCCGGACTTGCATGCGGGAAGCGTGGTATCGGTTCCCACTCAGTGACGGTGGGAACGCGTGTGGGAATAGTTGTTCATCTCTATGTGTGCTCTGAGATTGACTGGTGACCAGTTCAGGTTGTAGTCCGCCTTCAGCTGGGATAGACTCCAGCACCACCGCGACCCTGTACAGCAGCGGTCTCCAACCTTTTTTGCCACACGGACCTGTTTAATGTCAGACAATATTTTCAGGGACCGGTCTTTAAGCCCGGATAAATACAACAAAATAATATGATATGACCTGCATGAAACCTGTGGTATTTTCTAAACATAATAATAAACATGAATCATGACATGAGGAATATCCTATCTGGCCACAACGCTCTGTGGTCACTATGGTAACATTTAAACGTGCCTTAAAATTAAGATACGGCGCAAATACAAAGTGCTTGAAAAATACGACTCACCACGCCGCTTATTATGCAGAATAGGCTCGGTGCGTGGGAATCTCCCGTTGAGATAAATGTGTATTTTAAGTAGGACTCCTGATACTGTCGATTAAATGTAGCCTTCTTTTTCTTGAAAGTCGTAAGCTCCTATGTATCTCTTCTATCTCCTGGCTGGCTCTTTTCCCCTCCCCAAAGAAATTTTCCAAAGACGTTTGTTATTTTACTCATTTTGCTATCTCCTGGGTTTCACTTTAGCGGTAACCTATCACATGGCCG